TTTTCTCGTTAATTAAATCCTAACTAAATCTTTTGTGCTCCAGTTAACTTTGTTTGCATATCGTTACACTATGGAAGTTGCGTCTTCGCCAGCCGACTCGATGGCGATCGGCTCACATTGTATTCAAATGTCGCTCGTGACAACAACAGCTCAAGTGCAGCCAATTGATAAATAATTAATAACAACTTTTCCACACACGGCACTCCGCGATGCATGCAAAACACTTTTTCTATGAACAAAAGAGTTATAAGTGTTTAAAGTATCTATGGTCTTTTGCTACGTTTTCTTTTTTTTTCTTTGCAGCCAGTGTTTAATATTAGGTATAAAAATGATACAAGCTGTGCAAGTATATTGGATCAGTATTTTTTAAAATATAATTATTTATCAAGACAATTATACTTTAAAATTTGAAATTAAATAGTACTTACAGAGAAAAAATATATGAGTCGCAGAAAACAGTTATTAATTATTAAACATAATAGAAAACAAGTAAAGCTGGGTATATAATATAAGATAATACGATCGATCAAGAGAGATAGAATCACAACAATAGCAACTAAATAAAAGAAGAACATAAAACTCCATTTTGGCAGCATTCCAACTAATTGCCGTCAGCGGTAAATTTTGAAATGTATGATATGTTGTATAATATTTTGTGAATATTTATTTTCATTTGGTTTGCCAAGCATATGTGTTGTGATATATATAAAAAACTTATATGACGATGCATATTTCGAATGATAGATTTCTATTCCATTTGATTATTTTGCTTATTTTAAGAGGCTAACTGATAGAAATATTAAAGTAATTATTGAAAACGCCTTTGAAAATATGTACCTAAATTGATTGTCATCCCGGCTCGAATTCTTATAAGAAATGCTCTCAACGATCTTGTTTTCTTTGTAAATGAGAATAGTTGATAAATGTAGCCTGACTGAGCTGGTGCGGTCACCGCAGTCACGGTTGGTCAGAGCCGTGACGGCCCGCGATGCTGCTGCCAACTGCGACTATATTATAATTATTTCTATATTAATTAAGTAACTGTTTTCCCGCGACTTCGCCCTTGTAAAATACGAGGGTCAAACTGAAAGTTCTTAGAAAATCAAAAACTGATTACATTAGCCAGTTATTAGTTTTATTATATCTTTTCAAAATATTGTCCATTCACGTCAATACACCGCTGCATGCGATGGAACCACTGGGAAAAGCAATTTGCCCACTCGTCCTTAGGGGTCTCTTCAATGGCATCGCGATACGCAGCCACCGCTTCTTCAGCATTCATAAACCGCTTTCCTTTAAGTTTTTCTTTAATTTTTGGAAATAAATAAAAATCACAAGGCGCGAGGTCGGGGCTATACGGCGGGTGACCCAGTAATTCAACGTTTGATGTCGCCAAATAGTCGATCGTTCGCTTGGCGGTGTGCGACGAGGCGTTGTCGTGGTGAAGGAGGATCCTACTGCGAGGTCGTTTCTCTCGAACTTTTTCCAAGACAAGTGGCAAACAATTGGTAGTGTACCATTCTGCAGAAACTGTTTTTTGATCCTCTAACACAATTGTTGCAAAATGACCTATCCTTCCAAAGAACGAGGCCACCATTTTTTTTCCCGCACTTCGATCTCTCTTCACTTTAGTTGGCAACTCCTCGAAAGGAAACACCCACTGAGCAGATTGTCTTTTGGTTTTAGGATCATAACAGTAAATCCAGCTTTCGTCACCTGTTAGTATGTCGAACACAGCATTTGAGTCACCTCCGTTAAATCTTTCAATCATTTTACGACACCAATCCACACGATGGAGTTTTTGAGCCTCAGTCAAATTATGAGGTATCCACCGGGCGCAAAGCTTCCTGACCGCTAAATGTTCGTGGAGGATTTTGTGCACTTGACTCATACCGATGCCTAAGCTTGTCCGAATCTGTTGATAGGTCACTCTTTTGTCAGTCTCTATCATACGCCGCACAACACAGATGTTATCTTCAGTCGTCGCCGTAGAAGGCCGTCCCTCACGTAAATCATCAGTGAGATTAGTGCGACCACGTTTAAACTCATTAAACCAGTTGTAAACAGTCGCACGAGATGGGGCTTCATCGTGAAAGGCCAATCGTAGTCTATCATAACTTTCTTGTTGACTTAAATGACATCGAAAGTCATAAAAAATCATTGCACGAAAATTTTCTCGTGTTAAATTCATGATGACGTGACACAGACAATTTTCAATTTGCCGCCAAATCGTAAAACAAATGACAAATGAATGAAATATATACTCAGTAATATTGGCAAAGAGTTATATTTTCAAATTTTAGAATTATTTTTTTATTATATTGTTTATAAGTGGCCAGTTCTAAGAACTTTCAGTTTGACCCTCGTATAGCCTAATAACCCGCATATGATGTAGCTTCCCGTAACTGAAAGAATTTTCATGTTCGGATCAATATTTGTAAAGTCAGTATTTCCAAAGATTACTCTCTAAAAACATCCAAAAAGTATCTATTATAATATTAGTATGTTAAGTACAAACTTACTTCTATAGCTTTGATGTAAATACAAGTTGCTTAAGTGCTACAATTAATACCATGGTACAAGAACCATCCTAAAGGTAACGTAAACGTACAGACTTATTTCCACATTAATATAGAAAACTCTGGAAATGTGCGTCTTGCGATCTTTTTGTCATCTCTGTTCAATGGCATGATTATATTTATTTAGCAATATCCTATTTTGTTTCTGTTTTCTTCTATGTATTATATATTTGGTCAAGTTTTGCATAACACCAAGGCAAGTGGATTTTTAAACGTTTTTCATTATAGCATTGTGAATGCAGAAATTTATCAAATTAATAATTAGAACAAATTTCATCTTAATCGAAAGATTAAAATATTTATAAAAATATTTCTTCCGGCTGTTTGGGTGGATTGCCTGAACATTGACGAAAATACACTCATTAGTTGCAAAAAAGTGACAAATGCTTGAAAGCTCAGTGGTTAGAGCAGTCGCCCGGATTACGAAAGGTCGTAGGTTCAAGAACCATCTCAAAGTGCCAGGAGCTAATGGATTTTTAAGCAGTTTTCATTAAGAATATTCATTTATGTATTATGTCACTGAATAAATTATTTTCTTTCTTTCTATTCCGATAGATTCTTTGGTTTTGATTATATATGGAAACTGATTTTATTTATAAGACAATCTATTGATGATATTTTTATATTTAAAAACTGCTGTCGAAGATTATCAAAATAGTAAATCTTTAATCCGTATAGTTTCGGCACCCACAATATTAATAAACAATATTGATTTATCAATGATTACCGATCACAAGGCGAATAATCAGTAACTGCAAAACCCTATAAAGTATAATAATGTATGGGAAAGTCACCAACTGCTGAACTCCAGCTGAAGTCAGCGCCGACTTTACGTGACTGAAACGAATTATTTCAGGAGCACATTATGCATGAAAACGAAATTTGTATAATTTATTACTTATCAGAGTTTCGGTTTGCGAATTCGGAATGAAATATAACACTAAAAATATGTGGATGGAGAATCGCCCAGCAGATATAGGATTTTTGTATACATTAAATATTGTTATTTTCCAAAGCATAGACAAAATGTGGTTTTGTTATTTTAACTACTCAGTACTTGTTTAAAACACATATCTTTAACAAATACTTATCATTTCTTAATAGTCTAGGTCTTGCTATTAAATAAATTTTCTATATATTATGCATTATTTAATTCGGTGCGACTGTCTACCTCTTAAGCTATGATTCTAGCCATAGGCTACGACATTACGTCGCTACTTTGACGTCTACTTTAATAGCAAACGAACGAAACATAAAGAACTATGGTTATGGATTGACAGCAGGTACTCTTTAGTCCACCAAAAGACTAACAGAAGACATTTCAAAGTAGTAACATGGAACGATATATCGCCATAACATCGCTAAGATGTATCTATGGCTAGAATCATGGCTAGATATTAGGCGGTCGCACTCCTGCATGATGGAGCTTTACATTAAAGAAAATAGTTCTGACATTGGTTAGTTCTAATACATATTATGTCACTTTAGTTCCATTTAGTAAGTGAATTCTACCATGTATTGAAATTTACGGTCCCAAGGACTGAAAGAAAGAAAGAAATAAAATTAATTTATGCCGAAACCACATAACATACACAACGGCATGAAATATAAGTGAATATAAAATAGATTTGAAAACGGAATTTTTGTGAATGCTAAGTGATGCCAACACTGGATTCAGCTCAGTATAAGCAGCAGGCAGGACCCGCTGCACTGATATTTTGACTGAAAGTAATAGTTTTGATATCGGACTATGGATGCTCTAATAAATAATGTATAGCATATGTGGTTTTTTTCTAATATGGGTTAAACTTTATCAGTAGAATCGATTTTATATATTAAAATAATTAGTTAAAATTGATATACGCAAGATACTCCCACCTCGCAGATTTTCATGCCATAATCAACGAGTTAGTCACATCGAAAGTAATATAAAAATGTTGGATAAGTAACTCAATTGATTATTGATTTTTAATTGGCAAAATGATTTATATCTAAAAAGTCATAAACAAATTAAAAGAAACTTGACAGACAAAGTTTTCAAACTTTTAACAGAGTTTTTCTTGCCTATTCTGTTTTCCTATTTTTTTTCTATAGATATTTTTTTTGTTAACCGGACTTATTCTAAGTAAAAATACCTAGCTAGAAAAATACTTATATCAAAATAATTGTTCGAGGCGAGATTCAAACCTATAATACTTCACTAGCCTGCAAAACGACCGCACTGGAATTTTTGAGCGTTTTTCTATAAAATGAAAATCAATATATCATGGAGAATGCAAATTGTCTAAAATAATTTATCGCAATTGTTTAAATTTTTCTGATTTGACACTCGATTTCAAATGTAAACCGGAAAAATAAAGTAAAAATGTTGAGTTTCAATAATAAATTTGCAATAATTTTAGTTATTGTTTTTCAACTTACCATATTTGAGTTGAGGAGTGATACGAATGAGTGAAATTGGAGAGGAACGGCGTGGCGGTTCGCGAGGCAACGCACCGGGCCTTACTGTACCTCTGCCTGACTACCCGCTCGCTTAAATAGCTTCGGGAAGGCGTAACACCTATTCTGTGAGCGATCGACATTATTTCAATACACATATTATTTTAAAATTTTATTTTTCAGTTTGATGGTTTGAGAAATTCTTAAAGAATTGTAAATTCTTACAAAGAAATTAACAAGACTACCATTTTTAAGTAAAAAAAAAACATTGACTTTTACATTTAATAGTATTTCGGCATATTGCAGGGCGATTCTGCAAAAATCTGAACCCGAATTTGATTAGTGAAGAAATTCTATTGATTCCATTTCATTGTATAAAAATACAAAACAAAATTGATTGGTTAAACGTGTCTTAGATATTCTATTCCTATGTCATTTCGAAATTCACTTGACATATGCCACGAAACGTTATTAACAATTCAAGATTGAGCGGATGAAGCTCTTTGAAGTCAATTTTGACATCTAAGTAAATTCGAATTCGGTTTTGGATTTTTCAGAGAATCGCGGGGCTGATTTTTGCACATTCATGTCACGAGCTCATCGTCTATTAATAGTTATTACTTCGTATTAATAATATTATATTATATTTAAATTAACTATATTTATTATCTTAACCTATAACAAACTTTAAAAATATACACAGCTTGAAATAAGATATTTACAGAAATATATTTAAATTTTAATCTCATGCGATAAATTCTTAATTAGAATATAGGTTGACACATACGTATATACAACCTACAACCATGGATAACAATACAATATTAATCTTTTTAATTTTTGAAGGGCTCGTTTAGTGCGTTTCGAAAATTTATTTCTATGAGATGCTACAGGGAAGGCCTGTGTTGTGTTTCGATATTATATCATTACTATAACGAATGACGAGTATGTACAGTATCTAAGAATAACCCCCTTTATATCCTAACTTGCGTAGAGGGGCCATATGCGGCGATTTCAGTCCTAAACATGAAAACCTAGATAGTTGTCGTATCGTGTGACCTAATCTTCTAACAGAGACTATATTTTGTTCTACTTTTATACAATTAATCATAAATACATGCAATAAATTTGGGTATTACATTAAGTAATAATAACTAAGTAAAAATATTATAAAACGAAGAAAATAATCAATATTTGGATAATTAAAAAATCGTTTTTAACAGGAATTTCCCTGCAAAATTCCAAATTAATTAAAACAGAAAATTTGGTCGCGTAAATCGCAAGTACAAGAAGCAAAATTATTGTTTAATACTAAACTTTCGTTTATATCATCTTTCAGAATGTCATTTTATTTAACATAACATAAATATATCCTGGAAAGTTAGTTTTCAATCTGTTTAAGTAACAATCGTCAGTGATTTTTTCATTTATTGAGAAGGTAATATTGTATTATTGATTATTATATAAACTTAATAATAAACATATGGTCGGACAACAAATGAAACACATTATACAATTGCACAGTTAACAAATAAGAATTTTGTAAAAACAGTAAATTAACAATAAATTCTTTAAATTACTAGTTAAAATATCCAGTGTTAATACCTAGTGAATTAGATTATACGTGTATAGTTTTGAGGAGGTCTTTGGCACAGGTTTGGTAAGTGATGCACTGGTTAAGCAACTTTCGCAAAGGCCAGCCGTAGGATGGGTGACCAAAATTTATCATCTCTAGCTCCACCGTGCTACAGAAGGCACGATAGACCATTAAGACTTGGTTGTATCTGCAGTCATAAACACCGACCAATCCGCACTGCGCGCCCTCTTGTGCGTCATTCCTATTCTCCTTATTCGATTCAATTCCATCCATAAGGGAAAGTTTGTGCTGCAGCAGTACGGATATTCATCATTAGTCCTTTTACGTCCCCACTGCAGGGGCTCAGGCCTTCCTTGTGGATGGTTAAGGAGGATGGGCCATGAACCTCCACGCTGGAACCTTCCGAGGAACGGAGTAGCTCGAGATAATAATTTTCTGGTCACCCATCCCGTGACCGACCCTTGCGAAAGTTGCTTAACGACAACGACCGCGGGCCGCGGCGCTTATCCACTACGCCACCGAGCTACTCCGGACGCGTACGGATATTAATAGGCTGTTAATGATGTGTTTTAATAAGGAAAGAATTTATAAAAGAAATCAAATAGCACTACGACTAAAATAAACCAAATACTTTATTTTTGTCGTAGGTTTTTGTTAGTTAACATAAAAAAATTATTTACCGTTCAAAAAAATTAAAAATACTTTTTAAGAGTAGAATATTAAGAATCAGACAACTAGAAAATTATGAACTAATTATTACTTATTGGAACTTCAATCTATTCCTATTACAATATAAATAAAATTGAAACGCTGAGATAATTTATTATGAGTAAGCAATAATAAATCTTCTTTAAATATTTTGTTCGATATTTTTTTGCCATCTTATAGGCGAAGACATGAACCCATTGCTATAGAGAATTTGCGGCTTCTGATCAAAAAACCCATGATTAGTAGTTTCTGCAGTACTCGCGCTATGTTAACCTGACACTGCATTCTGAAGATATTGAAACAGGTGAAAATCTGAAGATACAAGGTCTGGACTATACGGCGGATGCATTCACATCTCCAAAATTCCAAACTATCTTAATTTTTGCTGTGTGGCGAAGGATATGTGAGGTCTAGCGTTATCATAATGAAAAATCACACCCCTTCTTTTGATTAATCCTGGCCGCTTTCTTTCAACTCCTTGCTTTAATCTCATCAATTCTTCGAAGTCAAGTTCAGAATCGATTGTTACATCTGGCGGTAACAGTTCATAATGAATAATGCCCTTAAATCCCACCATACACACAGCCTCATCTTGTTGCGAGTTAACCCGGGTTTCGACAGTCTGTGAAGCCTGACCGACCTTTGACCATGACCTTTTTCGTACGCTCTTGTCATACGTGATCTACTTTTCATCACCAGTAATCATCTTCTCAAAAATGATTCGGTTTCAATACACCGTAATAAAGTATCACGAATGAGTACACGGTTCATTAGGTTTCTTTCAGTACTAGGGTGACTGGAGTGAAGTGCATCTTTGACAACCAAATTTCCGGACTGAAAACGCTTAAACCAAATTTGTGCTACTCTCACAGAAACTGCCATAGGTCCATAAACATCAATAATTTTATTTTTTGCAGCTTGCGTTGCATTTTTACCTATTTTTTTTGTAATAAAATTTTAAAATTTGTCGATTTTCTTCATTAGGTTCACTCATTTTGTCAGTATGAAAAACAAATAAAATCACACATTTTCCTTATTTGAATTCAGTGTTATCTTCTTTAAAATTTATACTTCTTAATGATACCGAAACTAGCAAGTTACAAATGGTGCTCGTATATCCAGAAAGGTCTTATACACTGGTAGCAATTCTGTTACACAAACTAGGTAAAATCCTGACAATAACTACGATAACACAAGTAAACTTATTATTTTAATATAGGTACTACATTTTAAACAAAACACGGATTGTTGTAGAAGCAGACATTTATATGATATTGTTCTTGATGTATATAAAAGAAGACAAACGAAAACGTAGCGTGTTCTAGATTTTTGATAGTGACATCTGTTGTTGCAAATATAGAAGTTAAACAAACACAAATTAAACATGCCGCCCACCATGGACAATGTTCATCATTTCAACCCACCATGATACGAAATACGAAAGCAAGTGGACTGTAGTTAGGTAAAGTTAATAGTTATAAATGATGGTGGTAAAGGATGATAACGAACAATATAAAATAAAATAAAAAAAAAATATTCAGTCTAGGCTGTTACAAATACTTGTGAAAGTCGAGAACTACGCCATAGGTTCGTAAATCTACGGCAGGAGACCTTGTACGGAGAACCGGCAAGAAACTCGGCAAGGGCTGCTTTTTTTGCCTGTTCCATTTCATACAGAGCGTCAAGATTGAAAAAAGACTTCATTAAAATATGAAATTTTTAATAATGTTTCTAACATAAAGTTAACAATTATATATCAACTGCGAGGCCACTGTTAAAATCCCAATTTCTTTGAATTTATCTCTAAGTGATGTCCTTGAATTGATAAATAGCCCTTACTGCTCTTTTTTGTAATTAACAGACTATATCTGCAGCCATACCCCACATCCGAATGTCATATGACATAACGCTGTGGAAATTATTAAAGTATACTTACTGTCCTAGCAGTATCTACATCTGTGAGTTGCCTAATTTTTCTTATTGCGAAAGCAGCTGAATTTAGTTTTCCTGCCAATAATGAAATATGAGGATACCATTGCAATTTATAATCCAGTGTTACACCCAAGAAGATTGTTGAATCAACCAATTCGAGCTTTTCATCATTAAGTTTAATTTCTGTTAGTTCACCTTTTACAGTAGGTAGCTAGAACTTTGTACATTTCGATTTTTTTAGCATTTAACTGGAGATTATTTACAGTAAACCAGGACATAATCTGTGAGAGAGAGATATACATCTTCAAAAGTTATTTTTACATTTTATATTTAAGTTATGTCAATAGAAAAAATATTATTAAAATGCTTTTATAGATAAATTATTACAATTAAACAAAATAAGTATATTATTCTATTGGAAAATAAATTAATGTTGATATATTTACATGTTATTTATTCGCGATAAGTTTAAAAGTAACAAAAGTTCTTGTTATTTAAGTTAAATCAAATTTATTCATAATTTAGTTCTCCATTTACACATGTTCATCATTCACTACAAAGTATTTATATTTTTTTTAAATTCTAATATTAACCCTTGCAATGTTTTTCAAAGTGCGCTTTCATTTTAATTGTTCCTTTTTCTTGAATATTGTTTTGTATCTTTATTTGACATATATGTAGAGCTTCAATTTGCATTTAAAAGTTTTGATTGTAGTTCTTCACCTCAGTTAGTTTCCACTAACCCATAATTGCCATATCTCTAACTTCCTCTTTTTCATTACAGGTTCATCTGTTGGATGCAGTGATATGGAGTATATAAAATCATCAGTTTGACGATTATAATAACTTTATCTGATACTAGCTCTTGATTGCTCATTATAGTTATATAAAATTTGCTTATTTCATTTACTGTTGCTTGACTATTTATGTCGTTTGAATTTCGTGTATTTCATATTTGGAGTTGAGTAACTTATGTTTGATATCTTCTTCATCCCAAGTCGTTGGACTGCAGGCTCCGCGATAAAAAAAGCCTGTTATCCCTGGTCAAGCAGAGACCTAAGTGTCATATAAGAACTATTTTCTTGATTTTCAGCGTTAACTGAAGCAGTTGACTCTTGCTGTTAGTGAAACAAGTGGTAATGAATAGAAAAGAGTATGATGTTTTTTTTTTCAGATGTTGCATCTAGTAGAAAAACGACAAGATGTGACGGAAAAATTTGCACATAAATTTAAAGTTAAAACAGGTGTAGTTAGAATGCTAATGTTCCACATAAGTTATTCCAGATCTTGGATTTTTATACGTGAAGAAAAAACGCTATCACGTTGAATAACTTTTATTAAGGTAAAATAAAAGTTTGTATTAATATCACTTAAAGTATTAACATTCAATGTACAGACTTAATACCCTCTACGCTTTTAATAAATGTATAGATTAAAATTACTAACTTTATTTATCTTATTTTACATTGTTTAGTTTTTAAAATACTTATGAGGAAGTATTTAAAAAAAGCATTAGTTCCCGAAATCAAACTTGATGTCACTACAGTACTTTCATGATTTCTTCATGACAACTCATCCGGTTTTTTTTACTTGTATAAAAGCAAATTTGTTTTCAAAAGTTAATAAACAACTCATATTCTATTTGTATGGATGTGTAAGTTTCGAACTTTGCAAATTTCAGTTTTTTAATATGTTAGTTAAAAGGAACAGAAATTACTATTTTTGGGCCAATCGTTTCCTGCAAAAATCAACTTTTGTTAGAGTCGCCATCTAGTGGAGGTGCTTTTTTGGTGCTTACTTTTTTTTCTATAATACTTCCTCATTATAAACCAACTGTACTGTGTAGGATTCGGAGTATGCCATCCATCTTGTTTTGACTAACCTTCGGCTGAATGGACAGTCCCATACACTCCCCTGTCGCCTGTCAAGCGGCAGGGACAGCGTTTAAAACATTCCTACGACACATAAAAAGGGTACTATTAAGTATTAAATCACCTACAACTTGTATAAGTTATAAACCGAGCATACAAATTATTGCTTATAATTTATGACCAGGCATAAAGTACAACTTTTATGCTGTGACGGCGCTGTCCACGACGTCGAGTTCTAAGCTGATAGTATTATAGAATATCACTACATGTAAAATATTCATATACAGTTTCTTTTTCATCTGGCCTTATTCCCATTTTGATTGGGGCCGGCTCTTCTAATTAACTTTCGCCACAGGTGGTGGTTTTGGTGTTATCTTTGGACATTATTCTTCTGCTCCATGTGACATATGAATTTTACGGCTGGCTGCAACTAGACGACAAGACAGTGACCCCCCATTGCTGAAAAGAGCTTAGGATGCGACCTTTGGTTTTCTATCTTCCGCTGCCATCCTATACACGATATCCTGCCTGCGATTGACCCTCTCCGACCTGTGATAGAAATATGACCGAGCGACCCAGCGAATGAACACCTGTTGGTCCGCGGGAGGTATTTAATTTCTCTCTTAACCTTCAGCACTCCAGCGAGCATTCTCCCACCCCAGGGGATGCGCTCTCTGGGGATCAGGCTCCCCCGAGTCTCACATACAGTTAATAAATAGTGTGTATATTTTTTTAATTTCCCATAATCTTCTTTTCAATCACACACGAACAATCGATCTAGTTCCCAACTCTGAGATGATCTAAAAGGTCCCTGAATTTATCATATCAGTTTCAACTTATTAGGTTAAACAAATACCTCATTTTTAAATAATGAATTAAAATTGTTATTCTTAGCAAAAAAAAAACGATTTGTAATGGCCAGTGCGGAAATTCGCCAATTACATAGATATATGCCAAGGAACAAACATATACTAAGATAACTTTGTACAAGGTAATAATATTCAACGAGTTTCAATGTTACAATCTAAATATACCTATAACTAATATGAATGGGTGGGCATTGCTCGCACTAAAATAAAAAGTGTAAGCGTAAAAGAAATTGCGAGCCGTCACTTTATCATAAAATTCTTGACAACTTTTAGAATTAAAATAAATAGAAGAAATAAAACGAATCATTTATTTTCTTTTCCATTTATTAATCGTCATAATTACATTTGTATTATTAATTTTCTTAAAAGTAAACATTTGGCATGATCATACAATTACGATTAATGGCACTAGAGCATGCCAACATTTAAAAATACATTTAATCACACAGCGCTTTGTTTATTTATTTATTTTTATAAAAAATCTAAGTGTATGCTTAACTACTCGTAGCTTAATAAGTTCACTGCGAAGTCATAATACGTGACCTTTCTGTTGGTATGTAAATGTGACTTTTTTCAGTGCGTCGAGTGGTCATATGAACATCTCTGTATTTCTGGGTAAAAACGTCTTTTACTCCGTGATGGTAGATCCAGTTTTAAATGACCCTAGCAAATTGCAATTAGCTGCGCTTTTCAAATTCAAATTCATTTATTCAACACAGATATAGGTCAAAGTAGAATAAAAACAAACGCAGAAGAAAGGTTAAAATTAAAAAAGAAATAGTGTCCCATGCCTGTGTCAAAAATGTTTCTAGTTCAACATTTGTCAGTGACGCTCACGCTGATTTTCAAGTAGTCCCTCGAGTATCATCGCCATCTTTCATTCATATCATTTTCATTTTACATATAAAAATTAATTTATTTACTTGACATTGGCAGAATTGTAGGAAACGTGCAGATAAGTCATTAATTAAAAAAGAAGAAGAAGAAATAGTCCCTCCCTTTCTTTCTTTGACACACTGATGCCACACAGTACAGACTAATTACCAGTGGTCGGAATTAGGTAGAGTTATTCATGTACTTACACTGATTTCATACAGCGAAAGAATAAAGTGGATATGCCTCAAATCCCGAGATTAATTTTAAAGAGCAGAAAAAATCCCGTGATTTTTTTAAATAAAAAGTTATTTACTTTTACACAATTTAAACTACTGCACGCACGACGTTGCCAAACTTACATCAATGAAAGAAAGAAATAAAGAAAGAAGAAATAAAGAAATCCCGGGAAGGTCCACATTAATATCAACATTTCGATGCAAGTACATAAATAACTCTACCTAATTCCGACCTCTGCTAATTACACACACAAATGACATATATGAAGGCAACAAAACAATATGTAAATGAATTATACATTACGGGCGTCACATCTATAAGCAGCACAGAACGAACCAATTTGCACCACCGGTAAGCCACAATTCATTCTAAAGATTTTCCATTGATAATGAATAAAAACAAATACTTATAAAATAAGATAAAAGAAAGTGACCTCGATGTAATTAATATATAGGTAAATAGCATTATAATATAATCGGTCGAATATTGACTAAATTATATAATTGGGAAATTAATAGAATAGAATGGAATTTCTTTATATTAAAAAAATATAAAATCAATTTTCACCACTGCAATAATAATAAAAATTGGAAATATGATTCAAAAAGTTAAAATAATTTGTAATAAATATAACTTTATGCTTGAAAATAATTTATTTAGATTGCTTTTTTGGTTTGATCTAAAAAGAAGATACAATTTGAGATAACATTTTGACCACACATCGCACTGAAGTCATAAAATATAGTGATGGCAAATACCAACATTCAATAGATATATCGATTGTTCTTTAGGGGTGAATGTTGAAATAAAGTATTGTTAGGTACGTTAAAATAGGGATGATGACTAATTTTTGTTTGTTTGTCCGTCAGGTTGAGTGTTAAAAAATATTAAACACGTATTTTTTTCGATATCATAAAATTACGGCGTTACATTGAGTTGAAATTTCGCATGACGTCACGTTAGAGTACGTTTTCTACTCAACTGTGACGTAGGGAGCCCCCACTCCTCAACTTTAATGCCTGTTATCTAAGCTATTTCTTGTTAATTTGAAGTAAAAAAAAATACGTATCTAATATTTTTCTATTATCTGACTGACGGATTCTATTTAAATCGCATTTATTTTACCCACTCATTATCCCTATTGTAAGTAGATTTTAACATAGGCTTTTCTAATCATAAATTAGATAAATTATATCATAAATATTATGTTACCTTGTGAACAATTTTTGTTTTTGACTGTCTTTTGAAGGGCTGCCAGTAATCATCATTATCTAAATGCATATCATTTAATAAATACAATTACATTTTTGTACATATAATTTGTAAAGTAAAGATACAGACTAAAGCAAATTTCATATTATTGCTATCAAAAGAATTAGAATTCAAATCAACTACAATAAAAATGAGGTAATTACACTACAGTCCCATTCCGAATTCTTGAATAATCCGTCAGCGTGACAGGTCATTCCGTGTATTATTTTGACAGATCAATCAAAGCTTCTGTTAGTATTACGTCGTTACTGATAACCAGAGGTCGGAATTAGGTAGAGTTATTTATGTACTTGCATTGAAATGTTGATATTAATGTGGACCTTCCCGGGATTTCTAATGGTATTTTATTTTGCAACTTTGGACATCCGATGTCATTGATGTAAGTTAGGCAACGTCGTGCGTGCAGTAGTTTAAATTGTGTAAAAGTAAATAACTTTTTATTTAAAAAAAAACACTGGTTTTTTCTGCTCTTTAAAATTAATCTCGGGATTTGAGGCATATCCACTTTATTCTTTCGCTGTATGAAATCAGTGTAAGTACATGAATAACTCTATCTAATTCCGACTACTGATGATAACACGTCACATAATAACAATACCGCAAAATAATAGTTTCTTTCTACTCTATTAATACCGCTTAAATATTTTTTTGCAGTTTTAGGGTGCGTTTAATGATACAAAAAAATTAAGGTTTACCACGAAAATCTTTGTAATATCGGGACCTGACTGCACTCTAAGCGAGGGTATTGTCTTAAGTATACATATTACTGTTTTGAGTATACTTACATTAAACTGTGCCAACATTATTATATCAAATTTATTTAAAATGAATAATGAATTTTATTGCTGTTTTGTAAGATATTTTTCAGTGATACTCGGCTATAAGCTATTTGTGTTTCCTAAAAACTTGTAAGCGGGTATTGTCATCCAAGCGACGATTATTAATTGCTAATATTTTTTTTTTTAATTTCAACTATAATTCTTTCTCAAATAAGTGACATAACGGTAAAATCAGTTTGTAATATAATTGTATCTATGAAACCACCCATGGAAATAATCAGTTAAATATTTCTGTGGCAAAATAAATTTCATACAAGTTATTGTTAATTTTTTTTTTGTTGTATTTCGTTAAACATACAAAATAAAATAAAAACATTAAAAGTATATCGGAATATTTCATTGAAATTTAAGTCTGTATGTTTGACGAACTTAAGTTTTGTGGACATGATTTGGTCTGCTTTTTCAATTTCATTTGGTAAATTATAGAATTATTCTAATTTTATTTAATCCTACTTTCCTTTTAATTAACGATAAATTGATTTACTGACTTTACAACATAAGAGTAGTTTCTCGGCTATTAGACAAACTATTTTATAACAATTTTTTGGTTGTATCATCGTAAATAGTCTAAATTCTAGATTACCAATGAACTATTTTAAAATATGCGTAATTTAAGAACAACAGCTTGATTTCTTTCTTTGAAGACAAAAACCATATCTTCGTGATTAATAAACATAGAATATTAACAAGAAGTACAAATTTGGTACCACTACCACTACTATCTTATTGCACAAAAAATACTTTGTGACGTCATATTTTTATTGGCACTAGAATTCTCAACTATAACGTGTCATAAGCTCCGTCTTGGACACCAGTCTCTAAGTATTTCTTCGAGTTTTGTTCAGTGAAAATGAACGGTGCGTTTCTCGTCGGACACCGGAATGAGTCCATGAGCACTGGCCGCGCGTTAGACGACTTGTTGCCCACTGGCTCTAGGAGATTGTTCCACAGAAGATTCGCCGCTGAAATTAATTATTAAATTAATATTTAGGATTTTGGAGGATTGACGAAGGTAAGACAACAAAGAAATCTCCGAATCTAGGTATAATTACTTAAAAGAAAATTAAAGTAAAACATAATAAAACATTATATTTATTTAAAATAAATAGATTTTTTATTTTTATTTTGTTACATTTTCGTTGGTCTTCTCTGATTTGATTTTTATTGTAATCACTCGCATTTATTTAATTATTGCATGAATATTTGTTTGATCACGTTTAAGCAGATAAAATTTTTTTTTGTACTAAACTTGGGCACTGTAGGTCTTTTAGATAATTATTGTATGTGAAATGATTGTTATTTTACATGACTGTTTGATGCCAAAATAAATGAAAAAAATATATATAAGAAATAATTTACTTTTGTGCAATATTTTTCAAATTAAGTGTGTGATTTGATGCGTTGCGGAAATAATTTTAATTTCACAAGGGCCGGTCACAAAATGGGTGTCCAAAAAAATAATTTAGAGCCTGACTGCATCTGCTATAGGGGTGACGACTAATATTTGTTTGTTTGCCCGTCAGGTAGATTGTTGACAAATATTAAACACGTGTTTTAATTTGTTTCGTCAGTAAATTACAATACATCGGGTCAAAATGTCGCACGACGTCACGCTTTTGCATATTTTCTACAAAACTGTGACGTAGCGAGCCCCCAACCCAACTTTAATGCCTGTTATATAAGCTATTTTTGTTAAATTGAAGTAAAAAAAATACGAATCTAATATTTTTCTATAATCTGACTGACGGACTAAAAGAATTTCTGTTTTATTTACCCAGTCGTCATCCATGTTGTTTGATGTTAACAATATGGATCCAATCCACACGGCTTATTCTCCCTATTCGATCTTATCCATAAAAAAGGCCTGTGCTGCAGTAGTGGGGATATTAATAGAGCTGATGATGATGATGACGATTAAAATGAATTATTATAAAGAAAATAATTCGAAGCCCATGTTTTTATATCACCTTCGCACTCCCACCCTAGTCAGGTTTCCGTTTACAACAAAGAAGACCCTGTGTCCTAATAGTGGAGACATTAGTAGGAGTGTTAGCAGATTAATGCTATGTAACCATATGAAGAATGAATATTTTTCCGTAGCAGATGAAACGAAATGTAGCGATCCGTAGATGTAGCGTCCGAATCGCACTGGGGTAGTTTTTATAGAGCACGAACATACTTTTTAAAAATAATTGTCAGTCCCGCTATTTTTATCTATCTATGTTAATATTAATTATTATTTAAATGATATGAAGTAATTATTATATTTGATTAATTTTGCACTCACAGTGCTATATTTGAAAATTGCTTAAAAAGTCACTTTGTCCCTGGCACTCTGATATGGGACTCGAACCCATAAGCTTTCGCAATCCGGGCGACTGCTCCAACCGTAGCTCAGGATCTAACATGACTGTCGAAGTTTTCAAGCACTAGTTACATTTTTGCTACTACAGAGCGTTACATTAATGTTCAGACAATCCACCCAAACAACAAGAAATACTTTCACAAAGATCATTGGACATTCGGTATAGGTGGTGGTGGTGTCGACGGCAGTACATACGTACCGAGCGCGTGCCCCTTCTGCGAGAAGTGGAAGCAGTCGTGCGTGATGTAGGACTGGTGGATGACGCGCGCGAGGGGCGGGCGCGCGGCGGGGGGCAGGTTGAACAGCCGCATGAAGGGCTGCACCACCACCGCGAAGTCGCCGCGCCCCGAGTACCGCCCGCTCTCCACCTGCGCCCCGCGCACACAATGCACACTGTTTACGCGATAGTCTGGTACTGGTTCTTCAATCAGGCCCCAGATGAGCACAACAGGCGCCAGCAATGCAAGGCGCACCCCCATTGCAGGGAAAAGGTTTTGAATTTTTTTTTACAGATATTAAAACAAAAATTGATAGATATTTCAAGACTCGTTGTTCAGCGTTAGCGGTTGAAAAATATAAAAATTGTTGAATTAAAATTACAACTTTGGAGCGCATCACCGAAATCATCGATGAGTAGGTACTACAAGATTAGACTATTATCAACGTGGCGCCAACACGCGGCGCCCGGGTGCATTGCACCCCCTGCACCATGGGTAAAGACGGGCCTGTATTCAATAGAACGTTGAATACTGCGCAATATTTAGTCTCCAATAGAGCGTTGCATACAGCACAATACACTTATTTATTTAGATGATAATTAAAATAATTGTGGAGCCCGATTTACATAGTGCGAGGTCTTATGATAGAGAGGACAATCAATAAAAATTATTTCACAAGTACCATCTAATAAGAACGTTTCCTATAATCGAATAGCCACTTTAGGCGACTTGCTACTAATAAAACTCGAAAATACATATGACATGCCTCTGGACGCAAAAATACACATACACCAAAAGTTATTAGGGTTCCGTAGTAAGCCCTTGTAGTTTCGCCATGTCCTTCAGTCTGTCCGTTCGCGGTTAAGCTCAAAATTATTAGTACTAGAATGTTGTAATACGCGTGTAAGATACAAACGAAAATATATACTTTTTTTCTGATCGTGTTTAATATACTATTACCGGTAATAACACTTTCATACTTATTATATTTATAATATCGCTTAAACTAATTATGAAAAAAACTATTATTTAATGATCGTTGTCACGTGACCGCAAGCAACGAGTGACGTCACGATCCTCTTACTCACATCGGAACTTGAGAATTCAACTTTATACATACATAGAACGATAGTGCCGAGTGGCGTTTTGGCGGAAATATTTGAAAATTATATTTATTTGTATGAATTTTTCACATATATTTCATCTACGAAATAAAAATAAAAAAAAGTTGTGTACACCCCTGTTTGGCATACGCCGACGAAGTGGTAAAGTGGAAATTAGGAAAACAAAATTTTTTAGGATACCTTCCCTATATGTTAAGCGGGAATGATAGTTTTTGCGTCTTACCTATAGTGTGGGGCGCCGTTGGATAGGCCTTTTAAAACCATTGGAGGATGTGGGAAGGTCGTTTTTCAATTTAGTAAGCCGTTTGTCACTTATCAAGCTTTAAAGAGCTAATTTTCGTTAGAGTCGAGTGTCCCCCTCCTTCACCAACTAAACGGTTGTTGGTAAAAATTCAAATGTGACGGTAGTATTACCTATATATAACGAAGTTAAAAAGAAAACTATAATACTTAAGTTGGCTTTACATGTTTACGAGTAATTGTCGACCAATTGTATTTGACTCGAAAACTTCGAACAACTCCATAGAAAACAACAAATGTGATTTTTTACTGTGCGCGAAACCCTTTGTGCGCGAAAACGTCTGGCAATGAGCTGCCTAGTGCGTCCCCGGAGGTCTAACCACCAAAATCTTTACGTTGAATCCTCTTCTAGGAGATAATACACGAAAAGCTTTTCACTAAGTCACTGAATTAACAATCTTATATATTGTATTTGATCAATTTTGGATTAACAACTTAAAAGAAAAATATAGGTATATTGGACATTACTCAGAAATCAGGTGCCAAAGTAGCTAAAGCTCTAAGTATCAAGCCGTGTTTATAAGGTTAATTAGCTGTTTCCAAAGTTGATTCAAGTCAGTGCCAGGGGCGTCGCCAGCCGATGGCCCAAGCATGTGGCCAAATTGATTATGGAGAATGAGCTAAGATGAAGTGTAGCTAAAGTCGAAAGCACATGAAGCTTTTTAATTGTTAACGAGGCTTACATCTACGGCAATTGTAATTACAGGGGTACAGTCACAAGTTGGACTCAGTTTCACAAGCTCTTGACTGTAGAATAAATAAAACTTGTCATTATGTTATCAAATTTATTAGAAAATAGGAATATAAATAATTTAAGTAGGAGTGTAGGAACAGAATTGGTAAGTTCATTCGAGCTTTGACATACGGGAATGATTTATCAAGCAAGTGAAGACAACTTTTTAAAAATCTCTAAGGGAGCAGCTGCCCCTCCTGCCCCCCCTTAGCAACGCCCTTGGTCAGTGCTGGTCTAGTTTAAATTGAACCGCCAAGATATGGCCACAACTACGGACATATAACTGTGATTTCTGACGCCATTTAAACATGACTTCATCGTAATTTCAAACAATTAAGGAAACACCTCACCCAGACCTGAGACAGTTTAGAATAGTTCATTTTTTCTTTTATTCATCCGGAGATCGAACTCTAGAACAAAACTCTGAGATTGACCTCTTGAGCCGGAGCCGTATATTTTAGAAGAAACCTACATCTAACTTCATCCATTCACCTTTCTTTATTTAAATTAATGTGATGATTGGAAATGTAATAACAACTATAATAGTATTGCAATTCATAAAGTCCATGCACCCTAAACAGTAAACACATTGTGTACTCTGAGGTTAAACCAAGAAATTTAAAAAAAAAAACAGAGCTACATAAAGCATCTTAGGGGGCATCTACACTCACCAGTTGCGCCTCGGCCTTCTGGTAGAGGCGCGCCATGGTGACGAGCCGCGACAGCTCGGAGCCGCCGCGGTGGAAGCACGTGCAGAACAGCGGGTGCATCAGGCGGCACATCAGCGGCCGCCCCACGCGCACAGACACAGACACGTCTGAACACATCAAGGGACACACGCACACATACACAAAAATATTCATCAAGACAATCAAGACTCTTTTGAGTTTTTAAAAGGAATGGGTGCATGAAAATTTTAATCTGCATATTCTTTAATAAAATCAGCGTGAAGCTCGCCACTGTCGCACCGTAGAGGTTCGATGATTTTATAACCTTTATTACCCTTTGAAGTAAGTTTTATTCGAATGAACTTCTATCTCGTGAATTTCTACAAAACGGTACTCTACGAAAATTTCAACGGTCATTTTATTCGGTATAGCAGCACCGCTGCTCTTAACACCAAATACAAAGTGTATGACTTCTGTTTGAAGATTTGTGTACAAAAATGTTTCATTCATCATTGTCAATAAGTAACCTTCGCAAGTCCAAACACAAACCGCTAGGTCACGGAGCTTCTCAAACAAATACACAAAAATAAAATATTTAATGTCTTAAAAACATACATATGGTGAATACTCAGTATAATGTTCATCGTTTCAATCAAAAAGTAAAAAGATTAATTTTCTACACCAAACTATAACTAAACTATTAAGTATACTATAATTATCTTACCTAGAACCGGAATCAAGTTGATAAAAACCCTAGGCATTTGCGCGTACAGATAGTCGAGCGCCTTGCCGAGCTTGCGCGCGTGCGCAGCCGGCGACCACGCGACAGGCGACAGACACGAGGCAGAGCAGAGATCATTGGCACCCAAAAATATCGTCACCATCTTCCAATCTCGCTCATAGTCTATGTCAGAGGAAGCCTTCATGCGCGCTATAATTATCTGAAACAGAATTTATAATCGATAAATAATAATATATACTAACATTATAAAAAGAAAAGAAATACATAGATCACTTATTAAGCAGCTAAAGCCAGTGGCGTAACTACAGGGTGGCAAGTCGGCAAAATGCCACGGGTCCCCAACTGGAAGGGTCAAAGGAGACTCCTTACTCCTGACATTTATTATTACGCAATTAGTAAAAAAAAATGAATATCCGATGAATTTGCCACGGGCCTTAAACTGTATAGCTACGCTACTAGTTAAAGCACAATCACCTGAGACAATATAGAAAGGTATCTTTTCTGCATTTACCCGACCGGCAATTGAACCCGGGGCGTTAGAGATGGCGACATATTTTGAAAAGAGGATAAATGATTCTCCTTTAACAGTAATGGTAATAAACAGGTAATAAAACGTTAGTAAAAAGGGAGACATTAATAGTTATATCATAGACTTAAGAGATCATGTTCAGAGTCTTGTACCAAGCCAACACGTGTAGGACTTCTTAAACATTCGGATTGTCGGATAAGAAATCGCAGATATTCCGAAAAATAATATATCTTTTGCATTTTGCGTTATCTACAATTTCTATTATTAAATTACGTCACGAGGATGCTATTTATACGAAGTCTAAATAACATTAAGGTCCAAGGTCCAGCGCATTAGCAATTTACGGGACAAAATTCTTTTTTACTCGATTGCTTGTAGCCTGATACAAATAGCAACTTTCAGTATGGAGATCAAACATTAAAACATAACAGCTGTTTTTTTATTATTATGAGGGTATCATATATTTCTTTTTTAATATATGAATTAATCCAACGATATTTTCTTTCGGGTTATTAGTAAAAAAAATAAAATTCCTTTAATTTCTTTAACACGGACAATAAATATTTCAAAAATATTTGTAAAAAAATCAATAATATTAACAATGAAATACGACTTCAATCGATATTACTATATTACGTTAAGTATATTTTGTTTTGAATCCAATGAAAATTTCCTTTCTATTTAATAATTCTGGCCGCTTTCTCGCAACTTCCTACTTTTTAAAGTTTGTTTTGACACATTCTAATTATATATCTACTGAGAATTTTGTTCGTTACTTACGATCTCAGAATTATGTAGATTATTAGTTAACCCTCAGAAACATGATAGTAATCTTATCTAATTTTAGTTTCGTGTTTTTTTTTTGGTATATTTTTGGTTCGTATGATGTTTATTTACGTAAAAGGCCATCAGTGTATTAATTTTCTGTCGAAAAGAAATAAGGAGCTTCCTACTATTTTAATGATAACTTATGCTGTTTGAGTTGATAGGATAGAATAGGAAAAATCCTATCCTATCAAACTCAAAGGTCCCATTTGTATTGCCTCGATTTTTTACCCAACATTACATTTGATTATAAAAACAGTCTTTTAAATACTTTTTCTACGGCAATGTTATTCTGTTACAGTAAAAAAAAAACAATTCAATAGGAAATAAAATATTTATTTGATTGCAGCTCTTTGCTGTCACAGCAGTGCATTCGACGTAGAGTTCGAGGTTGTTTAGCAGGAATGTTAAAACAATCGCAATACATCGATTTTAAGTAGCAAAAAAATATCGCATTTTGACAGCAAGTGTAGTTTCAGTGAATTCCATTTGCCTTCTGGAGCACGATTTTACCGGATCGCAATAATCTATTAAATTGACAGCTAAGTCAGTTTATTGGGTTACATACTGCACGTTGATAGCGTTTTTTGTTTACAAGATCATCTGCATATGCATATGTATTTCTGTTATGATCTCGTTGCCTTGAAGGTTTTTAAAAAGTTGCATTTGCAACTGGTACACTTCTTTATTGTGTAAGCCTAACATCACCGCGTTTCACAGTCTTTCAAATAGGTTATCCTTTTTTTTGTATCAACAATAATGCAATAAATAGTAATTCTTAGATGTGACTACAATATGTTAATATAATAATAGAGTAAGGGCTCTATATGTATAATAAATATAATTAAACCTAATTGGTAAGTATTAACAATATACACTTATAACTAGGTTTTATTTTATTTTAGGGCTCCGTTTCTAAGGGTGTTCCAGTACATTTGTTTATAGCACTATACCTTTGCATTTGCACAGTCTTGATTGTTTAAAAAATAATTAATAGGAAATAATGATGCATTAACTCCCATCGTTTGCAAAAATATGATAATATTTACGTTGATCTCCAATATATGCTTTGCGAAGCCCTAGGACCCCATGGAATACACTTTAAGAAACGCTGTCATTACCACAATACAATAATCTCTTTTCAATCACTGTAAGATCTTTGACTCAACATTAAGAGACGATTTAATAATATTTTTGATGAAAGTACCTACAGTTAATGATGAAATGGTTATTTTAAATACAGACGTCTTTCAGCTTTATATTTAATACTTGGATAAAAATAGAACTAATGGAATTAGCGAATGTATCAATCAGTACTTCATTACAAGCTATTGTTAATCAATGTTGTAATGTTAAACGTTGGCTCTTAAAAGTCTATTTCAACATATCGACTGTCTTTCTACTTTAGTAAGATACACAACGAGAAAATATTTTAAAATAACTCTATATGAAAATGATAATTTGTTGTAAAAACAATAAAATGAGTTTAAAAAAATATTAAGTTGAAATGAAACTTAGCAAAGAATGTCTAAAAACATTTTCGGTCATCATTCGGTCAAAACAACGCTTTAAAGAATTTTTATTTTGACGCCCGTCTAGTTGATATTGCTCGCATTTAGCAGATCAAATCATAAATATGTATGTCACCATCATCATTGATTTGTGAGGAAGATATTGCTCTAATGATATTGGACTTTAGGTAGATAGTACAATTGCAAAATGCTAATAAATTCGAAGTAGTTGAGGTTCTAATAGAAGTAACATTTGGGGAAATTACATAGTTGATAGGGATCTGTTCTATCATTTTGTAATTTCTGTAATCTAACACCCTCATTCTAAACTCAATTACATAAATCTCTTCATGTTAGAAAAGTAGAAGATATACCTTTGCCTGCTTGAGGGCATCCCCATCTGAGGCGACAGGGAAGGCTACATTAAAGCGGGCGTTAGGCGCCAGCCATTCTCCCGTGCCTGTAGAGAACCCTCGCAAATTTGGGTTGAACACCTTCAGAATATTCGGCACTGTGAGGAATTCCCGCCACGTATTATCACCACCTGAACGCGAAATAACATTCTATGATTTGCATCCACAAGCAATAATATTGAATGCTAAAGTCATTTTATAACGCTAAACCAAATTGAAGATTTGACTTTGAAGAGAAAGAGGCTTTTGTTAGCTAAGTTAATAGTTACCAAAAATAATTATCATTATTCAAATTTATACTTTTAGTGAGAAATAATACACAGATTGGTGAAACAAACATAAATAGGAATAAGAGAATAGATACGAAGTAAAAGAGAAATCATCCTCCTTCCTTCTCCTCTCTTATTACTTTGTATTCAGAACTTTTTTTGATGAAAATATATTATATATCAGTATTGAGTTGACCTCACCTGCACACCATGATACACCTCTGTATTCTATGAAGGCGCCTAGTGCGTATTCCTCGAGTGCCCCGCTGCCAGCCACAAGGGAATCCCCTATAGCAGCGACCACTTCAATGTCGCCTGGTCGCAGCCGATGCACCGAGGTCGGCGGGGAGGCGCTGCGACCGAACGCGACTGCGTCCGCGCATGGGAACGGTGTGCTCTGTGGTGTTGTGCGTTGACGACGGACGTATGATTTCCTCTGCGGATAGCGAAGCGGCCACTGTAAAAATATTAAAATACATAAATGTATTATATTTGATTAATTTAGTATTTACATATTATACTATATTTTGATTTTATATTATAGAATCATATTTAAACATTTGACCGCCTTTAATGCTTCAGACGGGATTCGACTCAAGGGTCATTAATGACGTTTCACTAAACAGGCGTCTGGTTTCAATTTGAGATACCAGTAATCCATCTTTCGAATTAAAAAAATTAATAAAGGTAAAAATATCTAGAGAAAATCATATGTAATGCAATATGTTTTTTCTTTCTATCTTAATGGGCTTAAATTTTCGACCTGCGCTTCAAATCAGAGCCATCGAGTACTAGACCATGTTATTACCACATATTTACCGCAGTACGTACGTAAAGCCGCGGAAGTTAAAGCCTCATTGAATAATGGTGCTAAGCGTTGACAGCCTATTAAGTTTTGAAGAGGGATTTCATTTTATAACGAGATGTAGTTACTGCAATAATATATCTTAGTAATTTTTTATGAAAATCTTGTGCTTAAGAAACCTTTAAAGCTTTTGTAGCGTATTTAAAGCTCTATGTATGTAGTAATTATTTCGCAGACTATGAATAATCGTTGAAATTCCTTTGTTAAATAAACGAGTTGATGCAAATATGACGGAATATGCGTTAGTAAGAAAAACATACGTTTAATAAGATGTACTACTATATAAATACTTAAATTTCTAATTCACAGAGTTACCAAAGGTTGTATGTTTAAAATATTATTTCATTAATTAAGTTTATTTACAGTTGATTCAACAATACCAAAATAAAATTCGAAAACATTGAAGGGTCTTATTCTAATTGTACAACCTCTTAAATATTATGTGTGCTAATCTAAGTCGTTTCGGAGTCGATTCAATGCAAACAAACACTAAAATCTATAATTTATAATATTAGTATAGTTTACTACGAGTATTTCACTGAAAGCGCATTAGATAACAATTTGAATATTCTACATTATAATACAATTACTGTTATACAGCATGGAGTATATAATGCTTATTTTATTATCTACTTAGCAAATGTGAGAGATAATCATGAAGCAACAGTACCCAGTTAAAGAATATTACATTTGCAATATCCATACAAATTTTTGAATCATGCATATTTATTTAGAGTTCTACTTGTGTTTTGAAATCAAGAGCAACAGTTTTGGTATGTATAATTAAGAAGAAAAGTGAAACCTTAAATCTTATTAAATATTAGAAAAATATACTAAGCGCTGGTTTAGGTATATCTGATATATTTCTGAAATAATACGAAGAATAATAATAAAAATGTTAAACTCGATCTATTTTTGTAGTAGTTAAACGGTTGTTTTATTATATTTGTGTATTAAAAACATTATCTATAACTTTGTTTTAAGGAAACAATTAAGATAGCGAATTGCACTTGTTAGTAATTATGTTAATATATTCGGTGGTATGGACAACCTACCTACTAATAATTAGAATCAAAGTATCTACGATTAAGCTATCTTTATATATTATGTATTCTATAACATATCGCCTTGTACAATTGGATACAAAACTGACAGATCGATTTTTGTTTAATGACAATGATTTGGAATTCCACTTAATAAATGAGCAAGCATAAGTATTCAGTAGTAGGTAGTGTATAAATTATAGTAAATTCTTAATGCAAAATATTTGTAATAAACTGAAAATGGGAAACTCATGTTAGTAACCTCAATTTCAAATATGTATTTACAGCAGATTTCAAATTTCTATTAGGTCAAGTATTTTTATTTCATCATTATCGTAATATGCCATCAGCGTCACGTATGTCTGGCAAATCAAGGGTAAAAGAATCATTACCATCGTAGATGCGGTGTGTACTACTGGCAGGGCTCGCAAACCTAGGTAATGTCTATATATAAGAAGATGTTCGTAAAAACTTGGTTTTGAGAAAGTTTCTATTTGGGTGTCGGTTAATTTAAATCGAAGTTACTTCGATTCTAATCAAAGATAAAAATAAATGGTTTCAGCTCAAAATATCAGTTAATAAAAAAAAACATCGTTTCCGAAAAAAGATGGCGTATGCAACTCCGTACACATTTTTGCTTGGAACTAACCAGTTTAATACTAGTTTTTATAACGCTTGTAAAAAGATTCCGCTCCAATGGAACATTTACGAAAAAGTAGATTACACTTAACAGTCTTTATAAACCGGTATTTTTCGAACTGTTCTCAAGTCCTGACCAGTGGTGCGGTGCGACGATGCGACCTTGCCCACGCGAGTCATTGCCGCACTTTTACTCGCTCGTGGTGAGTTACGTCTTTGTACACAACACGACGACGTGATGATATCACTAGGGTTGTACAATTAGTTGGCATAAAAGAAAATTTACAAAAAAGCCGAGGAATAGATTCCAACTAAAACAATACATTACAGAAAAAAAATCATCAACACATTTTGTAATAGTGAATTTGAATTAATAAATAATTTAAAGTAAATATAGTGTTCGTTATTTTGAATTTTACAACATTAACTGATTTTTTTTTTTTGTTTCATGACTGTAAAGTTACGAATAATGTGTTTAATAAGCGAATCATTTAGCTTACAAAAATGTTATATATTATGTATTGTTTAGAGAGCAAACAGTTTTATATTAATATATATCTTTATATATTTCAAATACATTACAATACAAAAACATTGTTAATATGTTAATGTTAACAAGTACTGGTACTTAACTAATTGTTACCATGCGGATCCGTATCCGTATCCCTTATGAATTCGACGAAGGTCAAATTCATCATTCACAAACTCCAGATCCTGATGCAACATCGAAACAATAAATAACGCCTCCGTTAGAATTGTTTCTATATTTTTTTATAATTGAAAACATATTTTGTCTTGTACGAATGTGAAAATGCTTTACTCATAACCCGCTGCTTAGTGAGTGATGGACGAAGTCAGTATGTGGGACTCTCGTTTATAAGTCCATCCAGCGAACGTATCTGCTTGATGAAGTAGTTGTCAACCCTAGCTACTACGTAGTGATGCACGTTCAGGCTCACGGATGCGTGCGATGCAATCAAACCTATCTAGAATATCAATGGAGTTATGTCACTGTTACATCTTTATGGAACGCCAAAGAATCGACAGTTTTAACAAATTAACACGCATAATTGGTTCGTGATGCATCATAATTAATTATTTGAGTGCGTTTTGTTATTAGGTATGCCACTCAATACCCACTCTCCATTATTGACCCTATTTATATACTATATAGGAGGAGGGGCGATAAATACAATTCATAGTATGAAGAATAGATAGCTACGTTTTTATCTATATACTAATATTGTAAAGTAATACAATCCTCAGTAATACAATCTGTAAAGTAATAAAATAATACTCTCCAATCCGCATTGGGCCAGCGAGGAGGGTCATGGCCCATCCTTCTTAACCATCCATAAGGAAGGCTTGAACCCCTGCAGTGGGGACATAAATGGGCTGATGATGAATATTGTGAAGAGGAATGATTTGATTGTTTGCATTGACCTCTGGACGCAGACGAAGACGAAGTAAAATAGTTATTTATTAATAAAAACACATGACGAAGGTTTAGATCACCGTTCCTCAAACCCCGTCCCGAGTCAGTATTGAGATGAGTCGCAGGAATTATTAAATGTCGCTGTTAGCGCTGTATTCACTTTCACCATGGCTTAACCTGTCAATATGAATCGTCGAGACTAGGATTGAACAAACTAATCTTGATTGAACTGCTGGTAATTCAAATGAAATCATAACCATTCTAATGTGTTTGGCAATTTGGCTATTTTTATTTCCATTGAAGTCTGAGCGAAACAACATTGAAAGAAAAATATAAGAAGTCATCACTGACAACTGGACACTTCAAGAGATCTTCACATGAATTATTTTGTAGCTATACATCTTTCATGTTCCTATTTTAAAATGCCCACTTGATTAGCTATGTCTTAAGCTGACTCTCTATCTCTAGCCTATTTTATCATCTCAACAGTATGTCGTCACACACACAGAAGTCGTGGACGACGTTAGATCATATCCTGTGTATGTAACAACTCTATTTAAATACACAAACCACGACAGTTTTATCCGTCGTCACGACTGCCATTGTGAACGCATCCTTATCTGTATAGATAATATTTTTGTACGATCCTTTACAATGCATCATATATAATCGATTATCCGCAGAATCATATTGCCGAACAACATATGATTAGTAACATATGAATTTATTTGTGCGTGAGTTACTTTCACGTAGCTAAAATCGGTTACGAGCTTGTTATCTTTATTTCTTCACTCATGTTCATTCCTTGACGCACGAATAAGCGGTGTTTTTTTTAGACATTTGAGTACCTTTTTTATGATATATCCTACTAGCTTGATAGCGTAGTGGTAAGTGCGTTAGATCTGCAATGCAGCTGTTAAGTAAGTTCCGTAAGGGCTGGTCATAGAATGGATGACTAAAAATTTTATAGCTTGAGCTCCATCGGCTTTGGAAGGCACGTTAAGCCCATGGAAATGCTACTAGAATATTATGATTTTCATGAAATATATGTAAATAAATAACCGGTTCGTCTCTAAACAAAATTAAATTGTCAAGCTGACATGCAATAAGTTTAAACTAGATGCCGGCTTTAGAGCTAAAATATTGTGATACAGATTAGCATAATAAATTCGACATAAACTAGATATCAATTCCAATATTTAAATCTATAGTACCGGACAACCAGTATTTTTTTTTGTAAATTAAACCTTGGTAGATGGTTTTAGCCCCTCCAAAACACCCTGGCTACTAAATTTCATGAAAATTGTGGGAGCACTTTCCGATTTCGGATCTGAAAAGGAATAATATTATCTGCGCCCGAAAGATCTTTTCAATGAGAATAAATCAATAGTTTTTGTTTTGTATTTTTATATAAAAAAAATAATCAATAGAATTTCTACACTATATGTCTTGATAATTGGGACATATGAGTGAATTCGAATTTGGGTCCTGTCCATTCCATATTAACATTGCATTCTTATCTAAGTTATATGTATGCAAAATATCCACTTACGAGATATGACACTACTATTAACAAACTAACACGGTAAGTTGAATAAACACAAAAACTTATGAATCAAATTAGGTAGCTGAATTAAAAAATTAATCCTACATTATATTATCAAAGTTATATCTAATATGAGGACGTCTTCTCTGAGTAATCACGGTTGTACTATTATTACCAATAAAAACACGCTTCAATGATAAAATCTCGATTTGTTACGAAAAAAAGCTGTCCAAACAGCGGATTTTTTTACCAAACCATGTCCATACATTACGCTCAGTAGGTCACGGGACTGATTTGAACGTGAGATGTAAACGTAATGATCGTTCACCGTGCGTTGGTAAACACAAATTGTTGCGCTCATCACCCATAGAAATGCACGGAGCTGTTTAAAGTTCGCCGCAAATTGATGTGACACCGTGAACTGTGTGTGGCAATCGCAACACTAGTAACCGAACTTTTACCGTAGAAATCTAGCTAGTGGAAAAGCTGGCCTAGGGATGGAATTCACATAGCGAAGTTTCACTGGCAGTTTACAAAAACACCTTTTTTATTTACTGGTACTAATTAACATGATTATGATATTAAGGATTTTTTTTTACTATAAAATATACTCAAATTGTGATTTATTATAACAATATATATCTGATATTTAATCCTGACACTTGAAATTATAATTGTTTGATATACAGATCTATATTATACATATTGACATTGTAAATTCAATAACAAGACTATATTTTTCATGTTTAATAATAGGTGAAACATGATGTACATATTAAAAATTAACTCTTTTACCTTATTCACCATGTTTGTGGCAAATAAATAAATGAAATGAAATAAAATGTCATATTTCATCATCAGCCCTTTTACATTCCCACTGCAAGGGCTCAGGCCTTCCTTATGGATGGTTAAGGAGGATGGGCCATGACCCTCCACGCTTAGATTGAGAAGGCCTATTCTTTTTCTCCGATCACGAAATTTTGTCGATTTTCGAGAATCGAATCGAAAAATGCTTATTAATTTATGACCCAACGAAGGTAGGACGCCTCTGATGAACCGATAATTTTCACGGATATGATTTGAACACAATTATATGAAGGATTCCATATTTTCCGAATTTTTGTTAGAGAACAAATAGAGTAATTTTTTAATTTACGTAAAAAATATTAAACCGAGAACTAACTCGAAGTCAATATAATTGATTTCTAAGGCTTCTCTTGTTGCTAAATTATTATTTACTTTGCTAAATTAGAAATAATCACTCTATGTTAACTAACTTTTCTAGACTTTTATTTTGGAAGAAAGTTTTACCTTTACTCTTTGGTTTCCATGTTTCCTACGATGGCTATTTTAATTTTTATACTAAAATACCGTAATGTGTAATAGAATGTTTGTTTTTTTATATAAACGATTCCATAAATTTAACATTCATGTTATAAATTTTACATAAATATAGCGCGATATAAAATCGTGATTATAAATTGGCGTGAAACATAAAGTAACCAAACAGCGAACTAACCCTGGTCGTGAGAAGAATTGAACCGCAACATGTTAATTGCTGGGCTACATGTTTGCTCTACTTCATGCGATAGCGTAAGGCTGAAATAGAAATTAAGGTCGTTGGTTAATGTTAACGATGTGATTATAATAACTTGTGGTTACAAATTGTGGAAATAAACCTGAAAAAAAATTCGCCACTTCTCTTGAAGAGGTGGATCGATGGTCAAATTTTCTCTTCTGTGCTTTGGAAACCATGATCAATAAGACCTATCCTCCCTATTCGATTAGATTCTATTCGATCCACAGGGAAGGTCTGTGCCCAGCAGTGGGGTCAGTAATAAGCTGATAAATGATACTTCTTTACCATAAACTTTAACTGTACCAAATTTCTTTATTTAAATAGAAATGTATTATATTAGTAAGTTTTTTCATTCTCAATTAAAATCTATGTCAGGAGAATGATATCGCTAATTATATTGCTAAACACAAGATTTGAGACCATCTGGACCGGTTCAACGAATTATTTGTTTTGATACGAGCACTCATTGAATAATTATATATTTTACCCATTTAAAAAAATTATGCGTGTAGTTTGATGATTTTTTTTTATTCTTTGTATCCTGAATAAGGATATTATACGTAGGCGGGATGATAAATAGCTAGCCCAACCCATATTTTGTATAATAACGATATAACGATATAAAATCTCCTTATTATTTTACTCATTGGTTCATTAGCTGCCAGTGTTCCAAATTTCAAATCGATCGTATAGTTTTTCTTTTAAATAATGAAATTTCAAAAAGCATTCTTTTGTTTTTTCTGCAAAATGGATAAAATTGAGCTACGAGCTGTGATAAAGTTTTTGCATTTAAAAGGATTAAAAGGCGGAGAGATTTTTTCGGAGATGAAGGATGTTTTGGGAGAAAATGCTCTTCATATGCGACCATAAAAAATTGGGTGGCTGAATTTTAACGTGGTCGTACCAGCACCCAAGATGAACATCATCCAGGACGTCCAAAAAGTGCCACTACTCCAGAAATTGTGATCAAAATTCATGATACAGTTTTAGCTGACCAAAGATTGAAACTTTCCGAGATAGCTGATACTGTAGGCATCTCTAAAGAACGGGCGCATTACATTTTGTACAAGAATTATGTATGAAAAAATTATCCGCAAGGTGGGTGCCGCGATTGCTTACAGTTGACCAAAACGCGTTCGTATGCATTTTTCACAAGAATGTTTGGGCCGCTTTAAGAGCAATACAATTGATTTTCTGTGACGGTTTGTTACTACAGACGAGACTTGGGTTCACCACTATACACCTGAATTGAAAATTCAGTCTAAACAATGGTCGGAAAAAGGATCCCCGGCTCCAAAGAAAGCAAAAGCCGTGAAATCAGCGGGGAAAATCATGGCGTCAGTATTTTGGGATTCAAAGGGTATATTGATGATTGATTACCTTCCAAAAGGACAAAACATAAATGGCGAATATTATGCTGATCTACTGGATACATTACAAGTGTGTATTCGTGAAAAAAGACCCGGTCTGGCTAAAAAAAATTTTAACTATCATCAGGATATTGCGCGCGTTCACACGTGCATCACTGCGATGGCGAAATTCAAAGAATTAAATTATGATTTGCTACCACACCCAGCTTATTCTCCTGATCTGGCACCATCTGACTTTCATCTATTCCCTAAGCTCAAAAATTTTTTAGGTGGACAAAGATTTGTAAATAATAGCGAGGTCTGCCATGGACAGTTATTTTGAAGGGCTTGAAGAAAACCACTTCAGGGATGGCATCAAGGCTTTAGAGCATAGATGGATAAAGTGCATAGCGCTTCAAGGAGACTATGCCGAAAAATAAATATACTTTAAACATATTAATTCAAGTTTTTCTATACTAGACTAGTTATTTATCATCCCGCCCTCGTAGAGAAAGAAGTTGGAAATTGAGGGGAAAATAGCTAAAATAACACTTTGCTTTTCCAAAAAAATTAGGTCATACTTTACGAATGAACACAAAAAACAGCAATTATTGGAAACGCAGATAAAAAAATTACTGGTGTTATCGAGTCTTCACCAACAGTTTAGCCTGTTACAGCTTTTTCGAATGCATTAAATACTTATTTTCGTTTTCATTTGAAATAATTCACTCACTTATTCGTCAGAGATACGTAACAGCTACGTTAACGCTGTCATATACAATTAATTTCAACATATATTCATAGGAACTTGAGAAACAAAAAGCTATTATTTTAAAGTACATACTTCAATCACTTGCTTCATCAGTTCACTTTTAATTGTCGGTTATTGGCAAAATTAAACGGCTATGATATGTCACGATATGCGTGCATTCTTAATTGATTACATATATTATTATACCTATTTGCACGCCATGGGCTTAATCATAGACTTACCTTAATCGTTATAATAAGCAATACAGCTTATTATAACGATTAAGGTATGTCTTGCACATCAAAAAATTAACATCATGTTTTGATGTTTCTGTATAAAAATTGAGACAAAATCAGCATGCCAGGCGAGGGATGATGT